TATGTAAGTGCACTGAAAAGACATTGCCTAGTGTGTTTCATAGAGACTTTGGGCCACCTCTTGACCTATTATTTTGGATAAGCTTCTACTGTCACGTCATGGTCTGTCCTCCTCTTGCACAGGTAGCTACTAAACTATACTGGTCTCCTTTCCATAATCTGTTGGCAACTGTCCCTAGAGAAGGGTTTCTCAACCTCACTACTATTGACAACTTGGACCAGATAATTGTGTTGGATGTTCTGTGCATTGTAGGATGTCTAGCAGCATCCTTGACATGTACCCACTAGATGCCAGTAGCATTCCCATAGTTGACAACCAAAAACATCTCCAGACATTACTATGTCCCTTGGGAAAATTGTGCCCAGTTGAGAACCACTGCTGTAGATTACGGTAGGTCAGCATGTTTGGGAGTTGTCTCTTGTAGCTCATCCTGGTCAGGCCTGGGCCCATCCTCTCCAGCAGAGCAGGGGACTGTGCTTTTGGAACACTCTTTCTAGCCTTCTGTAAATGGCCACATGAGATCATCTTTAGGGTATACTTTTGGGCCTGTGGACTTTCAGAAGTCAGCTGTTTGAAGGGATAAAAGGCACTGAGGAGTGCATTTATAGGCTATTAACATTACCCAGTTAATATGAAAAGTGGTGAGTCAGGATGTATTGTCACTTATTTGTAGGTACCTGGAAATTATACTATTAGGACCTGCTTGTAATCAAATACTAAGCTCTTTGAGGGCAGAAATTTGTCTTCGGTCGCTGATATATGCCAGGTGTTTAGAGTAGGTGATCAATAGTTCCTGAAAGTTGAATGAAAACATTAATGACTGGCTTTTTTGAAAGGATCCAAAAATAGCTGTCTTCCTTGTAAACATACCTAAAATGCACATGAGGCTAGAAAAGCTCCAAAGAATGGAAACTATTAATCAAGAAGATACAAGCTTATTCCGTGAGTAAAAAAATTTGTACTTTTAAGATTGGAAAGAGGAAACCTGAGAATAAGATTCCAGTTGTATTGCAAGTATTGATTATGACAGGATTATCACAAACCTGTCTGAACACCAAAGTAGTAGCAGTCTTCAACTTTACTAATAGTTGGCTTCTAAAATGTTGACTGTAAGGTAGCACTTAGAACATACTTTGCTATGGCAAAGGGTGATAAATGGCAGTTGAATTCCTGTGTCCACGTCTGAATGCCTGTCACTAATCCCCTGCCGTTTATGACAGAACTCAGAGCGTCAGCCAGGAGGCCAGGGACATCCCCAACTCTAGGACGGCCTCCCCTGGGGCGAGGGGCTTTTTGCGAGCGTTGAGAGGGGATTAGCGTGGAAGACAGGACGAGGCAGATGCTCTCGGGTCCCAGTTCCCTTAAACTACATGGCATGTATATAACTATAGTAAAGCCATTGCCATACTGGGGTGACGAAGTACCACTGGAGTTCAGCTTTATATGTGGCCATTTGTGAATAGCTGGCTACATATACTTAGGGATTCAACTTCTGTTAAACTAAATACCATTTTTTTTTTTTTTTTGGCTGCACCACGTGGCTTGCAGGATCTTAGCTCCCCGACCAGGGACTGAACCCGGGCCATGGCAGTGAAAGCCCGGAATCCTAAACACCAGGCCACCAAGGAACTCCCATTGTTAATATAAACATGTAAGTTGTTACTTATAAATTTAGTACAAGCTGTAAATGTAAATTTAGAAAAAAGGAGTAACCAAGGGGCTTTATGTTGTATACAGAGAGTCTGGGGTTCACCATCCCTACCAGACTCTATAGAAGGTGACTGTGCTCACAACCTATTCTTTCCTGCCACCCTCAAAGGTACAGAGAGGTGAGCCACAGTGGAGTGGTAACAGCCCCGGAACTAGAAATTAGTCTGTCTGGGTTCAAAGACTGAGTCTACCTTTGCTAGCTAGCTGTTTCCTTATCTGTAAAATAAAGAATTCAAAGAGTTCCTGTGAGAATTAAGTGAAATAATACACCTAACCTCCTAACACAATGCCTGGTAGATGGCATGTACTCCATAAATGTTAGTTATTACTCTTGTTACGAGTTTGAGTCAGTCTGACATTTTTGTATTTTGGAAAGATAGAGAATAACTGCCTACCTTTTGGCATCAGTGTCTACCAAACACTAAATATCTTTGGACCCTGACATGGATTTTCATATTATTCAAGAAATTACTACTGCAACACAATGTGGTAATAAAACAATGAACTTTACTGAGAAGTTTCAAACATCATGACCCGAGGAAGTATTTTTCAGTTCAGTTTATCAAAATACTTCAACTTTCCGGCTGGATCTGGGATTATCTGTTAAAGAAAAAAAGCAAATTATTCATTTTAAAAGCCAAAGTATATCAACAGTAGTCTGACATTAGTTGCTTATCTCTTGACTAAAGATAAAGATTATTTTGTGTACCAAATTATATCATATATATTTAGGAAAAACTGGATTTGTCCTGCTAATCTCAGCTCTCCCAGAAGGCAGATAATTTGCTAGTAAATTAACATCTGTACTCAAGCACCTCAAATTTACTTACAGCTCTTCTCTTTGCCACCAGGCTTTCATGGCATCTTCAGGTATGGTGTAAAATCAAACATGTTGAGAGAGCATGGCTACAGATGTTAATGTATTTTTAAAATTATCTGCTGATGAAGTGATGGTATGCTACAACCTGAAAAGGGGGCAGTGGGTTCAAATGGATTGCTTGGAGGTCCAGAACTGTAACCTTTTAATCTCAAACCGCAAAGTAAAAGAAGTACTCTAAAAACAACGTGAGTACCTATTTAGTGAATGGACAAATACTCTGAAAGAAAAAGTGTTCCCTCCTAGAGCGTTACAGCCTTAGAAACCTCCTAGGTTTCTAACTTCTCACATTAACTGTTACTTGCTAGTTACAGGTAAAGTACATTTATCCCTATATAAAAAAATAACCTTGTACTTTATTGTAATCAGCTTATGATAGTTCTATATGCATTTTCTTCAGCATAAAATAAATGTTACCTAATTTCAGGCATCACTCCAGTATTTTGTCTTTGCCAATGTATAATCTCTCTGCATTCCACTTCAATTCAAGAGTATTTATGGCATAACAACTGGGTGCCACAGTATGCTGCACGGTGGGGGATCCAGTGGTAACCACCGAAGTCCCCGCCTTGGAGGCTCGTACAAGCACGTGGGGAAGATGTACGTGTACATAACTGCTTTTGATGCAACACACAAAACTAGGACACAGGCTCTGTGACTCAACAGAGGCTGAGATGGCATCAGGGAAGGCCTCAGAGTGGAAGTAGCATTTAAGTTGGTATTGAAAGAAGAATTTGGGGAATTTAGGGAAGGGGAGAGAGGTACTCCAGGCTACAGAAAGAAAGACCTGAGCAAAGGCACAAAAGCGTGACAGAGTAGGGCTTAGTTTGGGGAAAGATGAGTCACGTGATTTGGTGGGAGCATAGCATGTGTGCGTGTGTGAATCATGGGATGATGACCAGGGAGAGGCAGTGGAAAGAGAGAATGCAGAAGCTTGAAGGCTGTGCCCGAGCATGAGGACTTTGTACTGCAGAGCCACTAAGAGGTTCTGGTCTGCAGAATGACATGTGTTGGAGAGGAGAGAAACTGAGGTCGGGGAGACAAATCAGGAGGCCTGTGCAATGGAGATGAAAAATTCATCTGTCTTCAAAGAAACGCCACCACCAAACCTTTTCTGATCCTACACCCCCCCTCCAGCTGTTTTCTTTCCTTCTTTCCTTCTTGCCCTATCCTCAAACCACCTGCTGCCCTCCCTGTGGTCACGAGGGACTCCACATTGCTCAGTCAACTCATGGAACTCCAACCCTCCGTGCACTGGGACACTGGCGTCCTCTCCCATTCCCACAGCTCAGCGTTCTGCCCGCGCCAACCCTTTCTGCTCCCCCGCCACGCTGAGCCGCTACCGGCCTCAGGGCCTCTGCCCCTGATGCTCTTTCTGCATGGCTCCATGCACGACTGGCTCCCTTTCTTCACTCACGTTTCAGCTCAAATATCATCTGAAAAGTCTTTCCTGACCACTTTATCCCCATCCCAGGCACTGTCTCACCAACTGCCATCAACCTGTTTCTAAAAGCATTGGCCACAACTGAAATTAGAACGTAACTCTGAGGGCTGGAACATTGGCTATGGTGTTCACTAGTAAGTATCATCTGGCTATCATCCAAGTTCGAACAGTTGCCATATAGCAGGTGCTCAAGGAATGTCTGTTGAATGAATGCCCATAAAAACAGAGTAGAATGGTGGTTGCCAGGGGCTGGGGCTGGGGGAAATGGGGAGACGCTGGTCAAAGGGTGTAAGCCTTCAGTTTTAGGATGAATAAGTTCTGGGGAGCTGATGCACAGCACGGTTGACTATAGTTAATACTGTTGGTATACCTGAAATTTGCTAGAAGAGTAGATCTTAAGCCTTCTCACCCCACACAAAAAAGGCTAACTGTGAGATGATGGATTTGTTAATTAATCTGATTGTTTTCAACTATCATCTCTTTAAATATTTTCTCAGACCCTTTCTTTTGCTCTTCTTCTTCTGGGACCCCTATAATTCAAATGTTGGTGTGTTTAATGTTCTCCCAGAAGTCTCTGAGACTGTCCTCAATTCTTTTCATTCTTTCTTCTTTCTTCTGCTCTGCAGTAGTTATTTCCACGCTTTTATCTTCCAGGTCACTTATCTGTTCTCCTGCCTCAGTTATTCTGCTATTGATTCCTTCTAGAGAATTTTTAATTTCATTTATTGTGCTGCTCATCATTGTTTGTTTGCTCTTTAGTTCTTCTAGGTCCTTGTTAAACGTTTCTTGTATTTTCTCCATTCTGTTTCCAAGATTTTGGATCATCTTTACTATCATTACTCTGAATTCTTTCTCAGGTAGACTGCCTATTTCCTCTTCATTTGTTAGGTCTGGTGGGTTTTTACCTTGCTCCTTCATCTGCTGTGTGTTCCTCTGTCTTCTCATTTTGCTTAACTTACTGTGTTTGGGGTCTCCTTTTCACAGGCTGCAGGTTCGTAGTTCCCATTGTTTTTGGTGTCTGCCCCCAGTAAGCCAGATTTTCTTAAAAGCTTTTAATATACACTGAGGGTTTTGCTTGTGACTGTCTTCTTTGCCCTGAATTGATTCTACCACGTCTCCACTGTCGCCCTCCCCTTTTTTAATGGTATCTTTCTCTGTATACTTGGCTTTAAAATTCACAGCGTCAGGGCCCATATTCTGCTTTCCCAGTTGCAGCTACTCTCCGTACAGTCCAAAGAATGTCTAGTCTTATGAGTTCTGCCTAGCAGTGTTTACTTCATTTACAAAATCAAGGGAGTTCTTTTACAAGGAAAGATTATCCTAGGGTTGGCTTTTTGGTTTTTTTTTTTGCCCCAGCCATCCTCTTAACAGAAAAATCAATTTGACTTACTGTTTCACTACCAGGTTTCCATCCTGCAGGGCAGACTGAAAGAAACAAAAATTGGCAAAAGACAGTTTAAAAACAGAGCTCAGTTCTCTTTAGCAGCTCTTGTGTTTTCTTTTTCCAAATGAAACTGAAAATAGAGCCTATATTAATGAGAACATTGCTACAGGACAGTTGACTTCTGTTAGCTTACTGGCTTGCAGCCAGAAATTTTAGTCATGGAGCTTATCAGCAGGCAGCTAATCTATTTTCACTTTTGTCAATTATGTTTAGTTACATTTACAATAGAAGAAACCAAATTGAGTGTTCCTGTAATACAGTTGGAAAGTTTGGGAATCTGGTAAACTGAAAGGTCTTGGTACAGCAAAAATTCCTTGAATGTACATTCCCTTAAGCTTATCTGCTATGTCCTGCAGTATTTTGTACTGATGCCATGGTTCACTGTTTGTCAAAAAAGACTTTAACATTATTTGGAAGGTAGGATTTCCCCTTGATTTAGAGTGCACCCTGACTCAGGCACTGAGTTACACGTTTGAAAGGAATATGTAACATGTGTTCTATTTTAAGAAGATCTGACCTTTTCCATTTGGCTACTACAAAAACTTGAAGTGAAAGGATGAAATGACAGGTTACCAGTGTGATACTGAATAACCTTAAGGATTTCTGAATTACTTTGAGGAAAAAAAGCTAAATCAAATAATGTAAACATGCAAATAAAACCTACGTTACTAGATACTGCCAGATTGGCTGGTGCATTTTAAGTTTATAGAAACATAATTTGAAAAATTACAGTAGCAGAAACTTCTCTGAGCTTAACCAAAAGGACTATGAAAATAATATTTTGTCCATCGTATTCAGTAAGTAGAAAATATTAGTGATATTTTGTTAAAAGCACTTTAAATTATAATTTGATCTGCTTAAAAGACCTAATAATCTGAAAACAATCAGAAGACTTGGAACCATGAAAATTACTTGTAAGATAAGAAACCAAACTAATTATGCTAGTATCTCTCAAACTAAAAAATCAAGAGGCTATGATGGTTAGAAGGGAAGGGCACCTTCTCCATGTTTGTCGGTGTACTGGAATGCTTGAACCAAACGCAGTGTCTCATCCACAGATCTACCCACAGGAAGGTCATTCAGAGTAATCTGTCTTAGGATTCCTTTGTCATCAATAATGAAGAGACCTCTGTAAAACATAAGAATGGTAAAGGTGAGGACATCTGTTCTCAGTCAAGAAAAATATTAGTTAACATGAATCCCTGTACCGCTCACACAGAAGGATGTTATACAGAACCAAAAACTCTCTACTTACCTACTTGACTGGTATGCACATGCACACACCCCCATACCCACACTTATCTACTGTATATTTTGGGATTATCACTGTTAAACGGTAGCTTTAATAATTTGTTTTTGTCTATGAAATGTACTGTAGTATTATCAGTTGAATCTTGACGTGTACTAGGTTTGGGATTGTACTGTAAATGAAATGATTAAACTACCTAGCAAAGCTTTCCTTTGGGTGAAGGAGTGATCCATGTTTCTTATCACTGGCTGTTTAGAATGTCTTTGTATTTCCTTTTTCAGTGGTGGAAAAAGACAAAGTCACCAATATGAAGTTGCCTTTCCTTCTGAATCTTTCTATATGTGATTCACTACTAAGGCCTGGGGAATAATGAGATAGTTCGACCTAAAAGACCTGCTATTGAGATCAGGGTGGCACTTTAAGAGTTAAAGTATACTAGAGATAAAAATTGTCAAAGGATTTTACTATCTATTTATTTCAGTCAATATGGATTTCAACCCAATACTTACTTTGGATTAGAAAAGGATCTCGGGTACTAGGGCTAATTGCTTGTGTACAAGTATTAAAATAATGATGAGATATATATATTTAGTAGAAATACATGGCATTACATATCTATTACATGAAATCTTATTCCATAATCATGTTAAACATTACTGAAGTGTTCCTCCTCATTCTACAACACCTTTTTTGAATGAGCAACTCAACATCTGAACTAACTAGGGCTCAATCTCCTTAGACCAGATCAACTTGGCCAAACTCAGGCAAAATTGTTAATTACTACTCATATGGGTATCCTTTCATGTACTACTTTTACAGTTGAAAATTCTCATCAAAGGTGATCAAGTCTGTTCTGAAGTAAGTGACCCTGATGGGAAATTTTGACCTTGCCTCTGTAAGGCACATCATACCAACACACACCACACAAAAACAAATCTGCCTTTTCTTTGGTAGCAAATTGTAGCTTCTGTTTTCTGTTCTGATTGTGTGAACTGCTTCTTTGGTAGACTATGAGACTAAGGCATTTGCCATACTTGGTGTAATATGTATATATGTCTCTTCCACAGAACAGAGACAGGTCATTCTTACAAAAAGTATGAAATTAAAATGGCAGCAGACATCTCAATAACAGCCCCAGAAGCTAAAGGTATCAGGGCAATGCTTTCAAATGTCCACAGGAAAATGCCTCTCAATCTAGAATTCTACACCCAGCCACATTATTAATCAAGCATGAGAGCAGAATAAAAACATTTTCAGACACAGAAGGCCCTCAAGCATTTTACCTTCCAATGACCTTGTATTAGGAAGCTATGAGGATGTGCTTCACCATAACAAAGAATTACATAAAGAAGGCAGGCAGGCATGGGAGCCAGAAAATTGGGTATCTAATAGAGAAGAGGTGAAGGAACGTCCCAGGATGCTGGTGCAGAAAGTGCTAGGACAACAGCTATGTAGCAGGCCTAGCGAGCCATCAGTCTGACTGGAAGCAGGAGGATGGAGGAAAAAAACTTACAGAGGAAAAATGCAGTACTTAGAGGGGTTACAATCCAGGTGTGGAATTTAGGAATAATTAGTGATGGATATATAGAAAACTAAGGGAATGAAAGAAATGAAGTAGTTTATTAGCTACAAGAAAATAAAAAAATTTGCCACGGGGGAAGGTAATCTTCAGCACACTACACTTAAAAGCTTAGCAGTGAATAATATTTATATAAACACTGAATATTGACTTAATCCAAAACTGTGACACATTATACTGGGAAAATTAATTTGGGGATGATGTAAGAAAGATAAAGTCCTATTTACCATGAAAAATAATACCAAAATTGATATATCCAGGAGATGTATTATATAAGATACTATTTAGAAATATGGAGTCAAATAATGCAAGCAGTAGCTAAAGGGCTGAAAGTAGCTTCCTCCATGAAGCAGGGCTAAGAGTAAGGAGAGGGCTGTTTAAGAAAATGTGACTTTTAAAAACTATGTGCATATATTACTTTGATGAAAATAAAAAATTAAAAAAACAAACTATTGGTTCAAATCACATAAAATAGCTAATATTAGATAATTTTACTTGGCTAATGTTCAAATAATTCTAAATTTTAAAAGTGCCTCAATCTTTTTAGTGGCATATTTACTCTTCGGGAGTTAACTCAGTAATAAACTCTAGGCAGAAACCATTACAGACTTGGCAAGTACAAAAAAAAAAAAAAAAAAAGAGAAAGGAACTTGGTAGTGACACATGATACAATATGGATGAACCTTTTTTGAAAACATTATGCTAAGTGAAAGAGGCTAGTCATAAAAGAGCAGATACTGTAGGATTCCATTTCTATGAAATGTCCAGAATAGGCAACTCGAAAGACATAAAGTAGATTAGTGGTTGTGTAGGGCTAGGGGAGGGGGACTGGGTGAAACGGGCAGTGACTGCTAATGGGGATGGGATTTCTTTTTGGAGCAATGAAAATGTTCTGAAATTGATTGTGGTGATGGTTGCATCACCTGTGAATATGCTAAAAACCACTGAATTGTATGCTTTAAATGGGTGAGTTGTATGGTATGTGAATTGTATCTCAATAAAGCTGTTGTATGAAACCCACAGGATTATAAAATACTGACACCTTCACATAAAACATTAAAAAAACTCAGCACTGCAAAGCAAATCAACAATATATAAGAAAATTAAAACTGTTTCAAGCTGAAGTTGCCCTTTTTTCCAAAGAATTCTATCAGTATTTATTAACTCAAGTAACTCAATGAGGGTTGTTGGGTAAAATATCTCCTTAATTTTTCCTACTCCAAAGACACAGGTTTGTTAAATAAATACTATGATACTTGTATTTAGAAAAACCATTACTAGAGTCAGTTTGGAAAAGAGGAGAAAGAAATGGACAAACCATTTGGGGACCTGGGTTCATGTCTGGGCTCTGCAATTAACTGTAGTAACTTTGGCTAAGTCCATGGAACTCTGAATCTGTTTTTTATGTAAAATGACAGGGTTGGTCAAAGACCTCTAAATAATCTTCTGGCTCTAACAGTCTGTGACACTCACATAGCTTAAGTTGGGCACTTACCAATTATTTTTAACGGTATCTACAACATTTTTGCAAACAGAGCAAATATTTCTTGATCAAACCTTGTATCTTCTAACTCCATTTCAACGAGGATTACAAATATATTCATATTTGTCATAATGTAAAACCACTGAAAGGTACCTAAGAGTGTGGCCCGAGTCTTCCAGATATACGCCATAGTCCTTTGAGATCTGATGGTTCAAATCTGAAAGAAGTGGAATGCTTATCGGCCCAAGTCCTCCTTGTCTTCGAGGGGTATTAATCCTGTAACAGAAAATTTACCTTTCAGGGTTAAGTAAATGGCATATATTAAAACAGCACTCTTTCTTTGCATATGCACACAAACACACAACACACACATTCTCTAACAAAGACAGGCTAATATACATTCTATTTTTCTTGCCTCTCCCTCCCCTTAACAATATATTCATATCCTTTAAACACTAAATATGGAGATATACATCACATTTTTAATGTACAGACATAATATATGTTACTAATCTCTACTGACAGTCATTTAAACTGATTGCATTTTTTTTTGCTTTTATAAACACTGCTGGAAAATCCTGATAATTCTCAACTTTGTATACTTGTCTGATTAATTCCTAGAAGTGGAATTATGGATCAAAGGATATGCACTGTCATAAGCATAACCTTAGAATTGTGATTGCAAGACAAAGCCTTGTGAGATAAGCACGATACAACTGGATGGCATTTTAATATTCTGAGAGACAAGAAATGCCAAGTCCACTTGAAGCAGCAAGGAAGTTAGCTGTAATCTCAGACTCATCAGTCTTCAGATTTAAGTATTCTGCAACTTGAAACTGGAGGATGTGGGTTGGGGCCCTCATGGTAGGACACTGACGTAGCCGTTAGGAAACAGGGAACTGTGGCTCCAGATGTTTGCAGCCGCAGTTCTGACATCCAAGTAGAAATCTCTGGTTGATATGAAACCTATCCAGCTGAGAATGTATCCCCCAAAATTCCTTGGGAAAGCAATCCCAAATTATTTGGGATGACATAACTTTCTCCTTAGTGGATTTGTGTTTTAATCCTGCAAAGATTTAGAATTACTATAGAAATGATGAAGCAAATTCAAACCATAGTTTTAGTATTTTTATATTAAGAAATAATCAGTATATATTTGTATACTAAATTATAATGTTTAAGAGATTTGGCATGTTAAAATAACAGATTCACTTTATGATTCCAATTCGAAATGTGTAATCTGAAATTTTAGTTTATAACTAGTAAAGAAACATTTTAAAAGGACTTAAGACACACCTATTTATTTATTAGATTTGCAAGAATTAAGTTCTTGGGAAAGTGTGTCTGAAGACTGAGATGCTTAAATATATTAAATATATAACTGCATCTTAAAATACTTGAGAATCAATTACTTAAGGAAATGTAAATTAAATTTAAATTGTAGCTCCTGAACCAATTAAACTTTTACTTACATATACACACATACATATATGTGTGTATGTATAATTTACAATTATAATTTATATACATTTACAGTTATATATACAAATACATTCATGTATATATATTTATATACATAATTGTAAATGGAGAAAAACCTGTTTTGACTTTGTTACTTTAATGAATTGAATGTTAAATTTTAAAAGCAAAATAATTCTGCACAATCTTTATTGTGCAAAAATTTTGTGAACAAAATTATGGATGCTATTAAAAACTCACATTAGGGACTTCCCTGGTGGCGCAGTGGCTAAGAATCCGCCTGCTAATGCAGGGGTCATGGGTTCGAGCCCTGGTCCGGGAAGATCCCACATGCCACAGAGCAACTAAGCCCGTGCTCCACAACTACTGAGCCTGAGCTCTAGAGCCCATGAGCCACAGCTACTGAGCCTGCGTGCTGAAGCCCGCGAGCCTACAGCCCATGCTCCGCAACAAGAGATGCTACCGCAGTGAGAAGCCTGCGTACCACAACGAAGAGTAGCCCCCGCTCGCTGCAAGCAGAGAAAGCCCGTGCTCAGCAACGAAGACCCAACACAGCCAAAAGTAAATAAATAAATAAATTTATAAAACAAAACTCACATCAACATGAACATTTCAATGTTTGAAACATGTTGCCTAACTGCTCTCCAGAAATGCTGAATCAACTGTGTTTGTGTAAGTACCATTTCTTCACACCTTTATCAACATTGGATGAAATTCTTAAATATTTGAACTCTTGGCCAGACAGAGGAAAAAAATGGCATCTCTTGTCATTTTATTGTAAATTCTCTGCAATTAATTAGGCAGAGCATCTTTTCATGTTTAATGAATTTTTAAAAATTATTTAAAGCATTAATTTAAAAAATCATTGCTTCTTAAAAAGTAATGATAAAAGCTATTTTGAGTTTGACTTAATACTAGACAACTGGGTAACAGAGAGACATAGTATTTTAGATTTTATTTCTCCAGGTTAAGGTTACCCAATTTATGATAATAAAGTAATCATACAATTCAGTGGTTTTTGCTATGGATATTACATCTTTTGAATTTAACTTTTTTTCCCCAAAATTTGAAATGTCCTATAAAATCCTTAAGCATTTTTACTGTACCTTCATTGAACTAGCAGCTCTCAGATAAATTTATTCCTGAACTGTCTGATAAATAACTATATTCCTGTCATAGAAGTACCATGCACTAACTGATTGTGCCACTGGAGCTCCTCTATATTCCTGTCATGTTAAGAGTTGTCTGCCCATAATTTAAGAGTATGTCCATTTTTTCCCTACAAATATTAAGTTTAAGATACTGACCAGGCCAAATGGGTAAACTGTGAATCAACAGAGCATGCTACCACTTCAGTATTTATCGATCTGAATTCCTCAATTCTATCACCAAAGGCGATGATTTCAGTTGGACACACAAAAGTGCTGAAAGTTAAAAAAAAAAATTATTCTCAAAATACACATATACTTAGTTTCAAATGATTTTGTTTTTATAAACACCTTTAGTATATAAAAACACACATTAAGAACAATTTTATATATGAAGCTTCTCAAGATGGGAGTAGTCTAAAAAAATGGTTATTTGATCAAATCTAATTTAAAAAGTACAGAGTTCCCAATTACATCTTGATAAACTTTACTTTTATAACTTAATGGATCAGTGGTCAACCAATGTTCTCTTCTCCCTTATGGCAGCATCCCCCATTTTATTAGCTTTTATTCAATAATACTTTATATAGTGCTTTATAGCTTTCAAAGGATCAATACAAATTTTACATTGTTTCACTATTTTTTTTTAACCTTCCTATGCCAACCCTATGAGCTAGATGCATCTATCTCTATTTTGGAGATGAGGAAATACTCTCCCACCCCTCTCCCTTTCTTGATAAGGTCCTCTTCTACTTACTACCTCGTCTCCCAGTCCTGTTGTCAGAAGGGCACATTTAGAGAATATTACCTTAGGGTAGTATTTTTCAAGCAGTGATAGGGACTCCTTAAGCCAATTTATTGAGTTCCAACCAACATTTTAAAAAAGTGAAATAGAAAGTATGATCACACATATATCACACACAGTAAGGGTAAGTTATAACGCATATATATTTATATATAAGTGCATATATATGTGTGTATTCAGGAGTGATATTAAAAATATTTAACCACCTTAACTCAAGGTTGGCTTTAGCTCTCTCTGGAGGTTTCTGAAAGGGACTAGGTGGGAGGGGCAACTTGGGGAGGGCGTTGGTATGGAAGTTGTTCAGTATTTTAAGGAGCATGACTATACCGGTGCATACGGACTAAATATTACCTTGTATGTATAAGTGTATTGGGCGGCAATGAAAAATGTATTTCCTACCATGTGTCATCGTCAAGAAAGTTTGAAAAACAGACTTACAGGACAACAAGTTCCTACCACAGCCCAATACAGGCTTTTCAAATGTTTCAGTTGTTCGAGTGGAGGACTGCCATATGCAAGCAGACAATTCTAATCCAGGTTATGTCCCTGGAAACCTGGCCTATGAATGTATTTTTAATATTTTCCAAAAGGTAGGAATGATCGGCCCCTGCCCTCCTTCCTATTATTCCAAGAAATGCTACCTAGAGACACACTGGCCCAACTTAAAGTTTAGGCAGAAAACTGAAATTCTGCAGAATCTCGGAAGAATTCTGACTTTCTTCCTTGCAGACTGTGGCAAATGTCCCAGGATTCTTCCTTCTCTAACCAGGCCCAGTCCGGCAGGCATTACACAGAAACAACAGAAAGAAGCTCTCTCAGCTCCTTGCCCCAGAAGACCACTGCTAACATCATGCTCTAATTAGATATATCTTATTCATTATGGAGTTTTAAATAACACTGGAGAAACAGCATATTTGTCTATGTTACACTAATTTCAAAATTCAGGTTTAGCATCAAATATATTTAATATATGTGTTGCTTTTCAGTTTTACAGCATGAATTTAGAAGGCCTATCATTTTATATATATTAAAATTTCTACTTCTGGTTTCTATTTGAAGTTAAGTTATATAATACATTTTAGCTAGTCAAGCCATAGTACAAGTTGATTAGAAAGAAGCAAGTTCTTACTAATTTAAAATATTACATATTATGCAGATTCATGATTTGTTTTAGCCTCAATGTACAAATTTTTATGAGAATTCGATTTGGATTTAGAGTAGGGGTCAGCAAACTTCAGTTCACAGTCCAAATCTGGCCTATCTTATTTTTTGTAAATAAACTTTCAACGGAGCACAACAACACTCATTCATTATTGTCTATGACTTTTGTGCTTCAAAGGCAAAATTGAGTAGTTGCAATGAAGATCACTTCGAGACTAAAATATTTACTATCTGGCCCTGTACAGAAAAACTTTGCTGACCTCTGGCCTAGAGACAACCTAAAGATATGAGCTTAAGTATATCCTCCCTGCAAGTTTAAAATATATTTACTTAGTTCTAGATTACTCCTAATGTAAAAACGACCTTAATATACAGTGGCAAAGACAGAAGAATCTTCTATTTACTTTTGTAACCAAAAAATATATTCAAACATAAAAGATAAAAGTTGGGATAACTCTCTTTGGTATCTTTTCACTTTCATGGAATTTGAAAAACACTCAAAGTTAAATCCTCAATGTGACTAAAGTTCCAAGAGTATTTACTTTGAGTCAACTTTCTATCTACAAAAGTGCTCACTGCCAGAGTTAAAGTAAGAGAACTACCCCCATAACCATAATTTATATTAATAGGTATTATTCCTTAAGCATATCCAGTATTTTCAGGAAAATGTTCAAATCACAGAAAAGCAACAGATGTAGCAAAGAATAAAAATAGTAAAACCATAGTTAAATGGCATCACCAGAGAAAAAGGCATATAAACATTCAAGTTAACAGAGAAACAGATTTGTGGCATAAGTCTTGCAATTAAATGCTTTCTAAAATATTCTCAGTCCATTTTCTTGCCTTAGTAAGTATAGCTTAATGAATATAAATGTGGCTTTCCTCTAATGATTACATTTTGATAACACAATCATGTAGATATAAGTACTGGGATCAATGGTTTATGATTCTGAAATATATTCAAGATGTTACCTTCTTGAAAAAACTCATCTCAGTTTTCCCTTTAAGAACAAGTGCTAAATAAAATAATTTCTAACTATTTGATGTTGTTGAATAATGACTGATAATGACTGAGGTTTTACTAGCTGCTATGTACATGTATTACTTACAAATCAAGTGGGTAGAAGAAAAAAACCAGGTATTTCCCACGATAATCAGTTAACTTCAGCTCCTTAAATTCTCCATTTATCACAGCTGTTCCTTCCCAATAAGGTGCTGGCTTGGAAACTAAGAAAGAAAAATATATGATGTTCTTTTCTATTTACAATAGCCCGGAGATGGAAACAACCTAAGTGCCCATCATTGGATGAATGGATAAAGATGTGGCACATATATACAATGGAATATTACTCAGCCATAAAAAGAAACGAAATTGAGCTATTTGTAATGAGGTGGATAGACCTAGAGTCTGTCCTACAGAGTGAAGTAAGTCAGAAAGAGAAAGACAAATACCGTATGCTAACACATATATATGGAATTTAAGAAAAAAAATGTCATGAAGAACCTAGGGGTAAGACAGGAATAAAGACACAGACCTACTAGAGAATGGACTTGAGGATATGGGGAGGAGGAAGGGTAAGCTGGGACAAAGTGAGAGAGTGGAATGGACATATATACACTACCAAACGTAAAATAGATTAGCTAGTGGGAAGCAGCCACGTAGCACAGGGAGATCAGCTGGGTGCTTTGTGACCGCCTGGAGGGGTGGGATAGGGAGGGTGGGAGGGAGGGAGACGCAAGACGGAAGAGATACGGGAACATGTGTATAACTGAGTCACTTTGTTGTAAAGCGGAAACTAGCACACCATTGTAAAGCAATTATACTCCAATAAAGATGTTAAAAAAAAAAAAAAAGACCTGCTTACATTTTCCCTCTACCTTGTAGCTTTGGCAGATCGCCTCAGAGCTTTTTCCCCCAGCTGCATGTATGAGCTCTTGTGGTCTACACAGATCATTTATTGGGCCTTTATCATTAATGCCTAAGTATAAGTAGGTTTTTTTGGCATTAGTTTTTCTCTCTATTCAGGTGGCAAACTTCCTATAGTGGACAAGGATCCTGAGTTTTAAAATCACCCCCACCTTCTACTATGTGCCTTATTTGTTGTGTATGCAGAATAGAAACTAGTTTTTTGATTGATTGCAAGAAGGGATTAAAAATACCCTGAACATTTCACACAAACGTTCATGTTCTCTGAGTCTAGCTTGAACCCTGCTTAAACTGAAGTGTTAGGTGTTTACTCCTACCCCATATGTACAGTGCTACTCAAAGAGTAGCCTGCAGACGCCTGGTGGGGCATGATCTGTTGGCTAGCAGTCCCTGCCCAGATAAGGAGTTGCATCACAATGTAAATAGACTATGTCACTAAGCACACTGTAGAGCTCAGCTGACTTTTTTTTTGTTTTTTATTTTTTGTTTTTAGATTTATAAGAATAATCTTTTATTTCATCATTGAGAAATATTTTCTATTTTGCAAGGTAATTTATAAAGAGGCCAAGTTTCTAGATCCAAAGTGGTTATTTTCCTAAGGATGTATTTCAGGAAATACCAGAGGATTGCTTGCTTTCATTTTACTGTAGTTGAAAACATATTTTTAGTAAAATGGAGTAAAAAACAACCCCCCCAAAAAAATATGTAATACGTGATTCCTTATCTTGAGCCAGAAATATCTTGATATGATTTGGTAAAGGCTAGGAGGGAGAATTAGATAGCAGAAGGATACAGAACTATATATGCTTTATATACATTACTTAAAATGCTACTCAAGTGTGAGTTTATAATTGTAACAATGTGTTACAGGGACTTCCCCGGTGGTCCAGTGGTTAAGACTCCCTAGTCGGGGAACTAAGATCCCACACGCCCTGTGGTGTGGCGTGGCCAAATAAATAAAATCAAATAAAATAAATCTTCTATAATAAATTAACTATAATTAAAAAAATAATATGTTACAATGATAGTCCTTAATGATTTTAGCATATTGGGAAAACCAATAAAACTGAAAAATTCTGTTCTGAAAATCTTGATTTTGGAAATTTTGGGTTCTTTTTTCTTTTTTAAACACTGATAGAATACTTTATTGTTATTATTTGGCTTAGCAAATTAGGAAAGATTTGTTAAATGATAACACAATGTTGGCAAGGTGGTGGAAAGGCAGGCCCTCATATCCTGGATATGGCTTGCTTGCTTGCTTTTTTTTTTTTTTTTTCCTTGGGAAATTTTGGGTTCTTGATTTAAGAACTGCAGTGTTAGTTCAAAAAAAACTGTCATCAGTTTATAGAGCAAAAAGAATGCAGTATGCTAAGATCTATAAATGGAATTCCCAAAGCAAACCCTTGCATGTATTAAAAAAACAAACAAAAATTGTCCCGAATATAAATCATATAATTAATAAAGCAAATGCAGCAGTATAAAGAAGAATATTTAAATCCCATCTCCCCATAACCCCCATAATTTAACTACTGTTAACATTTTGATGTCTTTCCTTCCAGTCTTTTTTAAACACATAAATTTGGATCACGTTGTGCCCCACTTTTTTTTTTTTTCCGGTACGCGGGCCTCTCACTGTTGTGGCCTCTCCCGTTGCGGAGCACACGCTCCGGACGCGCAGGCTCAGCGGCCATGGCTCACGGGCCCAGTCGCTCCGTGGCATGTGGGATCTTCCCGGACCGGGGCACGAACCCGTGTCCCCTGCCTCAGCAGGTGGACTCTCAATCACTGCACCACCAGGGAAGCCCTGTGCCCCACTTTTTAAAAAAGGGAGCAGTAGATCATGACGTTTTTCATGTTACTAAAAATTATTTGAAAGTCTGAACTTAATAATGCCATAACATTCCATTTTATGAGTGAAAAGTCCTTGTAATTTTAATTCTAGATGAGCCTACACATGAGAGAAATATAGCAAATACCTAAAACTTGAAAAGGTCTGCTGGTAGAGGGAAATCTATTATTACTACTATTTTTTGCTTCCGTGTGCAGACTTGGATGGGATTTCTTATGAAAAATATATGTAATGCCAGTAAACACTTAACTGGCTGACATATTTCAAAATATCTTCCCAGGCAAGTAAAACTAATGGGACTTGGAAATACGATTTTAGAAGTGCAACACTAGCTTTTTTAAAAACAAAAATCTAAAGATAACTTTCAGGAGGAAAGAACTGCAGATGTTTAAGGAGGCGAAACAGTTTTTCTCATTTATCACTCCCACTCCATCCTAAGGCATAACAACATGCAATTTAACACTGGGGATTCATAATTGTGAAGCACTACTTTTTTTCACTGAACCTGGGCAAGGAGCATTCTGTAACTGTACCACAAAAGCCAAATACACATCTTCAGAATGCCAAATGGTCAGTAGGAAAAGCAAGTTCCTTAAAAGCGAGTAAGGGGGCTTCCCTGGTGGCGCGGTGGTTGGGAGTCCGCCTGCCGATGCAGGGGACGCGGGTTTGTGCCCCGGTCCCGGAGGATCCCACGTGCCGCGGAGCAGCTGGGCCCGTGAGCCGTGGCCGCTGAGCCTGCGCGTCCGGAGCCTGTGCTCCGGAGCGGGAGAGGCCACAACGGGGAGAGGCCCGCGTACCGCAAAAAAAAAAAAAAAAAAAGCGAGTAAGGGACAGTCTTTATCCTTTAGCCCCTAGCCACTTTTTTGGGGCTAATCTTAACATTCAGATGCAGCAGGCCACAACTTTCTCAGTATCTACTTAGTCTGATGTGTCCTTCCTGAAAGTGGCCATTAGTTGTGTACACTGGACAGAAATGCAAATAATCAAAAGCCAAACTGGCAGGACACAAATTTGCCACGAGGTTTATCATCAACCCAAATGCATTACTTCTAACCTCCCTTTTCCCATTTCCGTACAAAGAGCCTCCAAAGTATACCCTGTAACAAGTTCCTCATTTCTGAGAAACACAAAGGATACCCATTAACTACACAGGTCTTTGGGAAGGTGGCTTTTAATAGTCTTCTTTATAAGATGCAACAACAATCAAAGAAAAAAGAAAAATGAAGCGTTTGCCCTCCTGAGCATTTTGTTTAGCCACTTTTCTGTTTAATCAAACTGTCTGTGAATCATTATTCAGCTTATCAATGCATTCTTCCCCGAAATCGCAGAACAGACGCGACGTGCTGCAGGCTCTTTGCGATGTTTGAGGAAGTGTTTCAGTTTGCACAACATCCTCGTCGCCTGCAAGCCCCGGACCAGTGCCATCCTCTTTCCCTCATCTGTGGCTTCGGGGGTAACCACTACTTCTTCCAAAATCTGATTAGTGGAACCCATCCCTTTCTTCCCACCTCGCACCCCCTTCCATCCCCCCCACCCCCCAAGGAGAGAGCCAGGCTCTCCCTGGGACCGAAGGCAGCCCAGGGGGTGCCGCCCAAGCCAGGCCCCCGGGTAGCCACCGTAACCAGGGTACACGTGTCTCCTGGCCCTCCCCACCTCCCGCCTCCCTCTGCCACCGGTCACCCCGCCTTGGCAGGGCACCACCTACTCTTGGCTTTGCTGAGGTGCAGGGAGTGGTCGGCGACCGAAACCCGGGACGCCTCCCCCGGGTACACTTGTCCACCCGCGTAGAAGTGGCACTCCTCTTCGCGGGTTCGGGGCCTCTCCTCCGCGTCCAAGCCCCGTAGAGCTTTGGCCGGCAGCAGGAACAGCAGCAGCGGCAGCAGCAGCAGCTTTCGGCTCCGGCCAGGGGCCGAAGTCGTCGCGGGTAGCGGCGGCCGCCGCGCCTCCATGACCACCCGAGGGTAGTCGCACGTCCCTTGGCTCGAGAGCTACTTCTCCCGCCGCCAGGTAGTTACAATCCCGCGCCGGACGCCCGCGAGAGCCGAAGCGCGGCCTAGAGAAAGCTGCCCCGCCTCCTCACTCCCCCGGCCCCTCCCCGCTCCCCGTGTCCCTCGCTTCCCGGGCTCCCCCCCCCACCCCGCCCCGCCACGTGGGCGTCAGCCCCGCCTGCTCCGCTTCTGCAGGCGTTTGCGCATGCGCCCTGGGGCGGGCCAAGGCTGGGAGCTTAGCCTAACTCTGCAGAGTGTGGCATCGCCTGTGACTCCTGTGCTCCCGCCCGTGCTCTGGGCTAGACGTCCTTTCACGTCATCTCTTCCACAAAGCCTCGCCACCGCACACCATCCCCGCAAAAAAGTGAGACGAACTTTTCTGCCTCTGAACAGCTTTCACTTTATACTTCTAACAGTACTTGTTTCTTCCTTGAAGTGGTCTGTGTGAACAGCGCCATGACTCCCCGCCCCCCCCATCCCCGCCCTTAGTTGCAGCCCAAGTCTTGGGAGAATTTGGAGAAGAAAGGCCTAACCATTTACTCTCCTTCAGCAGGCAAGGCAAACAGGCAGTTTTGTGACTTTAGCCTGTCTTAAAGGTGTCTTTTTTTTTTTAAACACTTGAAAAGTTCCCAGAAAACCAAACTTTGTTCCAGCACAGTATAGTTCCATCTTCAGATAATTACCCCATCACTTTACAGGGGTCTTCAGCAGCCTTTATGCCCCCAGGGTCCCTTCTGTCTTCCTGTGAGCTCTTGTCATCTTTCTGAATCCCACGAAAGCCATCCAACAGTTTGTGTTTTCTCTAGACCGTCAGCTCCCTGGGGTCAAAATCAATGTGGAATTCATCTTTGTTTCCCAAGTCACCTAGCGCAAGGTTAGCGCCTGCCCTTGTAAGCCCTTGATTTTGTAAATAACACCTAATGTTCCCGACAGCCAGTCATAGTTTCAAGTTGCTTTCACATGTTTTATCCTTACTCCTTGTGACAACCCTTTCCAAACTCATCCCTCACCCTAGTTCTGCCCATTATAGGACCCGGAAGAGTTTGATGGGCTTGTGGCCCGAAGGCCCTTGGCTCCTGCCTCCGTCTCTCCCGAGACTCTCCACCCCACAGGCGTTTGCGTCTGTGCCCTGGGGGCAGGCCCAGGATGCCCAGCGACGCCTAACTCTGTATAGCATTTTGTGACGTTGATGGCGACAGGTCTCGTGCTCCCGCCCCTCTTCGCCTTCGCCCTCAGCAATGTTTTAGGGCCTCCTCATTCTTTCAGGCTCATCTCTTCCACATAACTTGGCCAGAGACTGGTCTCCCGCCATTGCTGTGATAGTCTTCCCGCCATTGCCAGTGACTGGTCGTGCAGTCGCAGTACTGTTTTAGACCCTCTCATCCTTCCGCGCCCCCTTCTCCTACAGAGCCTCACTACCGCACACCATCCCCCCCAAACCACCCCCTCCCCGAAAACCTGAAAGTAACCCTTCTGCCTCTGAATGGCTTGCATTTTATACCTTTAACAGATACTTATTCTCCTTTTCCTGCAGTGAGCTTGGCGAACGGTGCCATGACTAGTTGTAGTCCTTTTAAGTACTGGGAAGACTTAGAGAAGAAAAGTCTAACCTGAAAAGCAATATCTTGAGACCATTTATTGTCTTCCAAAGGGAAAGAAGCTCAGGCAGGAAAGTCACAGTTTGGTGACTTCAGGCTGTCTCAAGATGTGTATTATTTTTTTTAAATCAAGACTTGATAAGTTCCCACAAAACCCTTTCTCCCAGGCATGATATTGTTCCATCTTCTGACAATTACCCCATCACTCACCCATTTGCTAAGATGGCAGATGAGAACTGAGGGGAGAAACAACACACACCAGAAAGACAGAAGCCATCGGCAGCCTTTATGCCCCCAGGGTCCCTTCTATTTTCCTGTGAGCTCTTGTCATCTTTCTGAATCCCACAGAAGCCATCCTAACAGTTTCTTTCCTCTATTACACAGTCTGCTCCTTGGGGTCAAAATCGATGTCGAATTCATCTTTGTTTCCCAAAGCACCTGGCACAAGGTGAGCATTTGCTATTGTAAACACTTGATTTTGTAAATAACACCTAATGTTCCTGATAGCCTGTCATAGTTTCAGGTTGTTTTCACATATTATATCCTTATTCTTTGTGGCAACCCTTTGAGGCAGATAGGAAACCTGCCCTTTACAAACTCATCCCTCAGCCCAGTCCTGCCCATTACATGCTCTGCTTTTTGTTTCCTGACCTGTTTCCTGTGGGCAAAGGAGGAAGCCACCTCTCTTTTGCTGAGGGGGGTAGGCAGGGGGTGGGGGAAGCACGTCCTTACCCATAGCATTGTCTGTCAATTCTTCACTTTCCATGGTTCTGTAGCTAGGAGTCCTCGGGTGAGGTGGCCCTCGCACCTCCCCTTCTTCTCCTTCTCTGGCCTCCAGTTCTAAGTGGAAGGGGAATGGGGCCCAGGGGATTCAGGACTCAGTCCCAGGGATTCGGCTGAGGCCTGTACCCCGAGGCCGTCTTCGGTGATCCATGTTGATCATTGGACAAGCAGCCACAAAGCCTCAGTGAATTCTAGGCCCTGAGCTGGGTCTCTTAGTTTAGGAACTGGGAGAGGAAACTCGGGGAGAGTGTTATTTCCTGACACCTCTGCCCTGGGCTGAGCTGAGGTGCCCCAGTTGGCAGCAAGGGCTGCCCAGCAAATGGGCCCCAGTGAACCTCCCAGGCACAAACTGCACTCCTCACTGGAATCCCTTGGCAGCTGACATTCTGGGTGGCAGTTGCTCTGAATCCTTATGTCCAGTGATATTCCCTGTGTGCCTGCCTCCCGCGGGTAGACATTGTGCTTTCACAGTGGCAGTCACAGGGAGGCTCGGGGCCGGGCCCTTCCCCCAAGACACTCACCATCCAGCTGGAGTCAGCTGCCCATATTAATAACACAAAACCATCAGACACAGGGAGGTGGTTCTGTGTATATAGAAACACGTGAGGAGCTTAAAAACATTCGAGTGTATGGACCGAGCCCCAGAAATGATGATTTAAGTGATGTTTGCGGGGCAGGTGGAGGCGGTCTCAAGCGTCTGTGGTTTCACAAATGATGTGTCTGGTTAAGAACCACCGCTGATAGAGGTTAAGAGCACGTTGTGGACTGAGCTGTTTCTAGGTTCCAATCTGAGCTCTGCCACCTATTGGCCTTATGGCCTGGGGAAGTTAATTTAACTTCTCTGAGCCTTAGTTTCATCTGCAGATGGGAGTCATTAATACCTTCCCCATGTTGTGAGACTGAAATGATATGAGTTTCATGATATAAGTGTGAAAGCTAACTTGGAGTGTGGGCCAGACTTAGGGACTCACTTCTAATGCATATGACGGGAGGAATGCTTTGTGACTTCTGACTCAAGGTCAGAAAAAAGATAGTATCTGTCTTTATTTACATTACTCGTTCTGCTGGAAGACTTATTGTCCAAAAAGTTTTTTTGAGATAAAATTCACAAAACATGTAATTTATCATTTAAAAATATATAATAAATTCAGTGGTTGTTAGTATTGTCACAGTGTTGTGCTTTGTGCTTACCACTATCTAATTCCAGAACATTTCCATCACCCCAAAAAAGAAACCTCATTTCTGTTAGCGGTTAATTCCTCCTTTCCCCCAGCCCCTGGCTATGACTAATCTATTTTTTGTCGTATAGATTTGCCTATTTTGGACATTTCATATAAATAGAATCATATAACATATGTCCTTTCATGTCTGGCTTCTTTTACTTAAGTATAATGTTTTCAGGGTTCATCTCTCTTGTAGCATGTATTGGTACTTCATTCCTTTTTTTTCTTGTGATAAAATATACATAACTTCATACTTACTATTTTAACCATTTTTTAAATCTCTTTATTTATTTTCATTTATTTATTTTTTTTGGCTGCGGCATGCGGGATCTTATTTCCCCGACCAGGGAACGAACTCGTGCCCCTTGCACTGGGAGTGCAGAGTCTTAACCACTGGACCGCCAGAGAAGTCTGAAAGCATCTCTTTAAATGCACGTCAAATTAGGAGTTAACCTGGGGCTTCCCTGGTGGCGCAGTGGTTGAGAGTCCGCCTGCCGATGCAGGGGACACGGGTTAGTGCCCCGGTCCGGGAAGATCCCACATGCCGTGGAGCGGCTGTGCCCGTGAGCCATGGCCCCTGAGCCTGCGTGTCCGGAGCCTGTGCTCCGCAGCGGGAGAGGCCGCAGCAGTGAGAGGCCCGCGTACCGTGAAAAAAAAAAAAAAAAAAGTTAACCTGCAAAATTTCAAAACAAATACAATCGTCCCTCAGTATCTGTGGGGGGTTGGTTCCAGGACCCGCCCCCAAATGCCAAAATTCAGGAATACTCAAGTCCTATAGTGGGCCCTGTAGCCACGGTTCCACACCATGTGGTACTGTAGCACGTATTTATTTAATTAAAATTTTTTTTTAATTTAAAAAATTTTTTAAATGGATCTTTATTGGAGTATAATTGCTTCACAATACTGTGTTAGTTTCTGTTGTACACCAAAGTGAATCAGCCATATGCATACATATGTCCCCATATCCCCTCCCTCTTGAGCCTCCCTCCCACCCTCCCTATCCCACCCCTCTAGGTCATTGCAAAGCATTGAGCCGATCTCCCTGTGCTGTGCGGCTGCTTCCCAGTAGCTATTTTACATTCGGTAGTGCCTATATATCGATGCTACTCTCACTTCACCCCAGCTTCCCCCTCCCACCCCGTGTCCTCAAGTCCATTCTCTATGTCTACATCTTTATTGCTGCCGTGCAACTAGGTTCATCAGTACTTTTTTTTCTTTTTTAGATTCCATATATATGTGTTAGCATACGGTATTTGTTTTTCTCTTGCTGACTTCACTCTGTATGACAGACTCTCTAGGTCCATCCACCTCACTAAAAATAACAATTTTTTTAAAACATCTTTATTGGAGTATAATTGCTTTACAGTACTGTGTTAGTTTCTGCTGTATAACAAAGTGAATCAGCTATACATATACAGATATCCCCATATCTCCTCCCTCTTGCGTCTCCCTCCCACACTCCTTATCCTACCCCTTTAGGTGGTAACAAAGCACCGAGCTGCTCTCCCTGTTCCATATGGCTGCTTCCCACTAGCTATATATTTTACATTTGGTAGTGTATATATGCCCATGCCACTCTCTCAACTTGTCCCAGCTTACCCTTCCCCCTTCCCATATCCTCAAGTCCATTCTCTACGTCTGCATCTTTATTCCTATCCTGCCCCTAGGTTCTTCAGAACCATTTTTTAAATTTAGATTCCATATATATGTGTTAGCATATGGTATTTGTTTTTCTCTTTCTGACTTACTTCACTCTGTATGACAGACTCTAGGTCCATCCACCTCACTACAAATAACTCAATTTTGTTTCTTTTTATGGCTGATATTCCATTGTATATATGTGTCACATCTTCCTTATCCATTCATCTGTCGATGGACATTTAGGTTGCTTCCATGTCCTGGCTATTGTAAACAGTGCTGCAATGAACATTGTGGTACATGACTGCTTTTGAATTATGGTTTTCTCAGGGTATGTGCCCAGTAGTGGGATTGCTGGGTCATATGGTAGTTCTATTATTAGTTTTTTAAGGAACCTCCGTACCGTTTTCCATAGTGGTTGTATCCCACCAACAGTGCAAGAGTGTTCCCTTTTCACCACACCCTTTCCAGCATTTATTGTTTGTAGGCTTTTTGATGATGGCCATTCTGACTGGCGTGAGGTGATACCTCTTTGTAGTTTTGATTTGCATTTCTCTAATAATTAGTGATGTTGAGCAGGTTTTCATGTGCCTCTTGGCCACCTGTATGTCTTCCTTGGTGAAATGTCTATTTAGGTCTTCCACCCATTTTTTAACTGGATTGTTTGTTTTTCTGATATTGAGCTGCATGAGCTGCCTGTATATTTTGGAGATTAATCCTTTGACTGCTGTGTCATTTGCAAATATTGTCTCCCATTCTGAGGGTTGTCTTTTGATCTTGTTTATGGTTTCCTTTGCTGTGCAAAAGCTTTGAAGTTTCATTAGGTCCCATTTGTTTATTCTTGTTTTTATTTCCCTTTCTCTAGGAGGTGGGTCAGAAAGGATCTTGCTGTGATTTATGTCATGGAGTGTTCTTCCTATGTTTTCCTCTAAGAGTTTGATAGTGTCTGGCCTTACATTTGGGTCTTTAATCCATTTTCAGTTTATTTTTGTGTATGGTGTTAGTGAGTGTTCTAATTTCATTCTTTTACATGTAGCTGTCCATTTTTCCCAGCACCACTTATTGAAGAGGCTGTCTTTTCTCCATTGTATATTCTTGCCTCCTTTGTCATAAATTAGGTGACCATATGTGCGTGGGTTTATCTCTGGGCATTCTGTCCTGTACCATGGATATATATTTCTGTTTTTGTGCCAGTACCATACTGTCTTTTTGTTTTTTGGCTGCATTGGGTCTTCATTGCTGCGTGCGGGCTTTCTCTAGTTGTGGCGAGTGGGCGCTACTCTTGGTTGTGGTGTGCGTCCTTCTCATTGCGGTGGCTTCTCTCATTGTGGAGCACAGGCTCTAGGTGCGTGGGCTTCAGTAGTTGTGGCACACGAGCTCAGTAGTTGTGGCTTGTGGGCTCTAGAGCACAGGCTCAGTAGTTGTGGCGCACGGGCTTAGTTGCTCCGCAGCATGTGGGATCTTCCTAGACCAGGGCTCGGACCTGTGTCCCCTGAATTGGCAGGCAGGTTATTAGCCACAGGTGAATGTGACTACTATAGATACCTCATATAAGTAGAATGATACAATATTTGTCCTTTTGTATCTGGGTTCTTTCACTTAAGTTTAATGGTTTCAAGGTTCATCCATGTTTTAGCATGTACTGGTACTCTATTCCTTTTTATGGCTGAATAATATTCCATTGTATGGATATACCAATTTTGTTTGCCCATTCATAAATTGATGGAAATTCAGGTTGTTTATACTTTTAGACTAATATGAATAATGATGCTGTGAACATTCATTTACAAGTTTTTATGTGGACTTATGTTTTCAATTCTCTTGGGTATCTATCTAAGACTGGAATTGCTAGGCTATATGATAACTCTATGTTTAACTTTTTGAGGACCTGCCCAAGTGTTTTCCACAGCAGCTATCCTATTTTACATTTACACCAGCAGTGTGTGAGGGGTCCAGTTTCTCCACATCTTCTTCAACACTTGTTATTGTCTGTTTTTTTGGTCATAGTCATGGGAAGGATGTGAAGTGATATCATTTTAATTAGCATTTACCAAATGACTAATGATGTTCAGCATCTTTTCATGTATATCATCTTTGGAGAACTGCTTATTTAACTCTTTTGTCCATTTTATAATTGGGTTGTTTTTCTTTCTGTTGTTGAGTTGTAAGAGTTCTTTATATATTTAGGATACTAAACCCTTATCAGATATATGATTTACAAATACTTTCTCCCATTCTCTGGGGTTTTTTTCTTACTTACTTGATAGTGTCCTTTTAATTTTGATGAAGGTTTTTAATTTTGATGAAGTCTAATTTATATTTTTTGCTTGCTTGTGCTTTGGTGTCATATTTAAGAAGCTATTGCCTAATCGAAGGTCATAAAGATATAATACGTTTCTTTCTACGAGTTTTATAGTTATAGCTTTTACATTTAGGTATTTGAGGCTTTTTGAGTTAATTTTTGTCTATGGTGTGAGGTACGGATCAGGAATACTTTTTGAGCACCTGCTGTGTGCCAGACACTGTCATTGGGGTGCAGCAGTAACAAAACAGACATGTCCTACTATTATTGAGCTAAAATTCCAATGGCACTCACAGACATTAGTCCATGGTGACATAAATGTCTAAATGTAGATTTGACCACATACTGTTTCTGATCTAGAATGGGGTCCAGAGAATGTGAGGCTTGTGGGGGAAGGGTGCACCCTCACATGGTTGACAAAGTTGCAGCCTGGCCTGGGGCTCTGTGGTATGAAGGAAATCCCTGTCTGACACTGTCATGGGAACATTCACAGGTTCCATGATGGACCTGAGTGCAGGCTCTGCCACATCCCTTGTCTTTCCTCTGAATAGCCACTTAGACTCTCCCTCAGTTCCTAGGCTTTTGTGACCCACCCCTGTGTTGGGATCCTTCTGCTCCCCTGGGTGGCCCACCTGGCTGCTTTTCCTTTTATGACAGTTTCAGACCACTGTCTTTTGTGGGGTCCACATGTGTTCCCTGGAAACACAAATTTTTCTGCATTTGTGGGCAGTTCAGTTTAATCTCAGGCTGCCATTTTATTGTCCCTTCTGCCAGGGTCAGTTCCAGCCCCAGCCTCTAGAGTTCACTTGAGTGAGTCAGACGCTAGTTCCTGTGATACTCAACCTACAGGAGACACAAGCTTTCTGAAACTTTTTGTCATTTGCTTGAGGTAGCAACATTTGTCCCTCTCTCATTCTAGGAGAAGTCATCCACAGAGTCATGAGGACACTCAGGCAGCCTCTGGAGAGGCCCACGTGGCAAGCGACTGAGGCCTTCCATGAGCTACCAGCACCACCTTGCCAGCCTGGGACTGCACCACCTTGGAAGCGGATCTTCCAGCTCCAGTCACTTCTGATGACTGCAGCCCTGGTGACATCTTGGCCGCAGTCTCATGGGATGCCCTGGGACAGCCCTTCCTGAATTTGAGACCCACACAACCTGTGAGTTTCATAATGTTTATTGTTATTTTATTTTACAGTTTTTATTGAGATATAATTCAATACGTAAGATTTCACCATTTTAAAGTGTACAATCCAGTATGCAATACAGTATTATTAACAACTATAGTTCATTGGTTTTTAGTATATGTGCAGTGTTGTGCAAACATTGCCACTAGCTCATTCCAGAGCATTTCCATCACTTCAGAAATGATACCCAGTACCTCTTATCAGTCACTTTCAGTTCCCCATTCTCCCTTCACCTGAAAAGCACTAATCTACTTTATGACTTTATGGATTTGCCTATAGTGGACATTTCATATACATGGAATCATATAATATCTGTTACTTTGTGAATGGCTTCTTTCATGTAGCATCATGTTTTCAAGGTTCATGCATGTTGCAGCATGTATCAATCCTTCATTCCTTTTCATGGATGAATAATATTCCACTGTATAACCATTTTGTTTATGGATTGATCAACTGATGGACATTTAGGTTGTTTCTACTTTTTGGCTATTATGAATTATGGTACTGTGAACATTTGAGGGTAAATTTTTGTGTGAACATATGTTTTCAGTTCTCTTGGGTATATACCAAGGACTAGAATTCTTGGGTCTTATGGGAACTCTGTGTTTGAATTTTTAAGGACCTGCCGAAGTGTTTCCCACCACGGTTGCATCACTGCAGGCCAGCAATGGAAGAGAATTCCAGTTTTTCCAAATCCTTGCTAACACTTGTTATTGTCTGTGTTTTTGATTATAGCCATCCTAGTGGATGTGGAGTGGTATCTCATTGTGGTTTTGACTTGCATTTCCTTAATGAGCATTGATATCCATGCACATTTTGGCCATTTGTATAATCTCTTGGGAGAAATGTTTATTCATATGCTTGCATAAGTTTTAATTAGGTTGTTTGTCTTTTTTTTTTTTTTGGCTACACTGCGTGGCATGTGCGATCTTGGTTCCCCAATCAAGGATTGAACCCACGCCCCCTGCAGTGGAAGCGTGGAGTCTTAACCACTGGACCACCAGGGAAGTCCTGGGTTGTTTGTCTTTTGACTGTAGTTTTGAGTTCTTTGTATATTCTGAATACTAAATTCTTTTCAAATATATGATGTGCAAATATTTTTTCCCATTTTATAGATTGTCTTTTCTCTTTCTTGATACTGTCCCTTGACACAAAATTTGTTTAATTTTAGTGATTTCCAATTAAACTACTTTTTCTTTGGTTGCTTGTGCTGCTGGTGTCATACTTAAGAAACTGTTGTGTAACACAAGCTCACAAAGATTTACAAATACTTTTTTTTCTAAGTGATTTACAGTTTGTAAATATAAGAAGTTGATTATGAAAAGGGGGGAAGGTGGATGTGATTGAGGGCCAGGATTCTTTTTAGGTAGATATACTTTAGGAGAACATACATATAGAAAATGAAAATGTGAAACTGGTTTTATTAGGACTCTTTCAGGTACCCTTATGAAAGGCTCCTTGTAGGATTGAGGCTCTGACCTGAGCCAGAGAAGTGCTGCATTCTTAGGTATATCTCTTGGCATAATGAGTGAGAATAGGAGAGAAGTGGGGAAAAGTAATGAAAAAGGGGAACACGGCAGAGAAGGAGAGAAAAGAGGGGGCACAGGAGAATACTGGGAAGTTGTGCTCAGGTAAAGTGAGGTAAGCCATTGTCTCTTTATCCCATCCTTGTAGGAGTCGTCATGGAGGGTGCACGGAGACCCCCCACATATGCAACTGTCTGTGTCATGAGTTTTGCCATCCTGCCAGTGATTTGTATATATGTTTATATAGGATGGATGTATCTATCCATCTGCCCCACCACTCCAGATGTGATCCCCAGGAAGAGAGGTGCTTGTGTGAGAGTAACATATACCTATGGTTGGCAAAGTTGTAATGAGGCTTTGGGGCTTTGTGATACAGAGGAAATTCTGAGCTCACACTCTCATGGGTACATTTTGAGCTTCCTAAAGGGACTCACCTGCAGACTCCTGTCACATCCAGTGCCTTTCCTCTGATTGGCCAGTAAACTCCCTGTCAGACCCTGTTCTCTTGTGACCCACACTTTTGTTGCGGTCATCTTCCTCTTTAGGTGCTCCATCTTGGTGCTTTCCTTTTAAAACAACCTGAGTACACTCACTTTCCCCAGGTTCTGTTGTCAACCATGGTAAATACAGACTTTTCTTCTGCATGTGGCATTAAGTGCAGTATACTTTTATGCCATTCCTCTTATTGCATCTTTTGGCTGGACATTTTCAGCTGTAGATACTTGGCTTCATTTGCATGAATCAGACATTAGTTCTTGTGTCTTGCTAACTGCAGAAGACATGAGTCAAGTGTTTCTAAGCTCCTTTTCACTTGATTAAGGTCAGAGGGAAGCTATCTTTATTCTCATGACAGTGGAGAAAATGCCCACCACTGTCCCTTTCTCAGGGTCCACATGTCCACCTTGGAAGACAGTCCTTCTACAGGGCAGCTGCATCTCTAGCTTCTCTTCCTGTGAGATACGCATACTAGTATCTGTCTCCATTTACCTGAAGGGTCCATGGGTGCAGCTTCTGTCTGGGCATTAGACTTCCCCTAAATATATAGGCTTTTGTGGCTCTCTCTTCTGTTGAGGTTTTCTTTCTCTTTAGGCACTGGTCTTGGTGCTTCTGTTTTAAGACAAACTTAGTCCACTCATTTTAGCAGGGTTCACATGTCGACCATGGAAAACACAGTCCTTTCTTGTGCAGGTGGTAAAAAAGCCACTGTGTTCTGTGCCAGCCTTTATATTATACCTTCTGATTTGGGCAGTTTCTGCCCCAGGTTCTCAACTTCGTTTGCATGAGTCACACTCTAGTCCCACTGTTCCTCTAACTCCAGGGGACCTACGTCAAGCTTTCTGAAGCTGTTTGTCATTTGCTCGAGGCGGGGGGAAGTAATCTTCATTCCTCCTTCGTGAGAGTGGAGAAAATGCCCACCAGTTTCGCTTCCTCAGGGTCCACGTGTCGACCTTGGAGAACCTTCCTTTCTGCTGCAGCTGGTGGAAGTGCAGTTCTGTCCCATGTCAGCCTCCTTCTGTCTTTCTGGGCAGGGGCCGCTCCAGCCCCAGCTACTTTTTCTACATGAGCCAGACACGAGGCTCTGTGTTGTTCTAGCTCCAGGGAGCAGAAGTGAAGGTTTCGGAAGCTCTTGCCTTTGGGTCAGCCATTGCAACCGCATCTCCACGAGGCAGTTTTCTCACTCACTCAGGGTCTGTCGAGACATGGGCATTTCTGCCCTTCTAACGCTTGAGTGCAGAGCTGCAGAATTGAAAACCACTTAGCTGCAGTCTAGCGGTGCCTCCTCCATGATGGGATATCCTACAACTTGCGTCGAGGTCATTTGCTCCCTTTTGTTGCCCTGTCATCAGCTTGGTGTGGAGGACAAGGGTCATGGGGAGCTGACAGTTTTGCCTCATTTCTTTTTTTTTTTTGATGTCTTTGTAAGTATTAAAATGTCAAAATGTAAAAGTGACCTTTTGTATTTTTGGTGGGACAATAATTTGAGCCTTGGCCTTGGCCTTGCATGTCTCTGTGCATGAGATGCCAGACTTGGCACTGATGTGTGGCTGAGAAAAGTTATGATGCCCTTTTCCTAGGCAAGAGGCCACCCTGGACAGGTTGCTGCCTAAGATAGATTCCACTGCATCTGGTAGCACATACTCTCACCTGTCAGTGGGTGAGAGGAGGATAGGGTCTCCCCACTAACGGATTGCCTGTTCCATGTTAGGAGAGATGATGCATCTAGGATCTGTGGTCCTTAGGATCCTATGGCTGGGTTAGTGGATGAGATAAGACTCTCTAATCTGGGTGTACAGCGAGAGGAGGTTAGGAGAAATCAAGGCTCCCCAGATCTGGTAGAGCAGTGCAGGCCAGGTTATGAGAGGTATAGCTCCCTGGGATCTGGTAGTGCACCCTTATCTCCATGGTCAGTGAGGAGGGGGACATAAGGGTTCTCCCTCTGTCCATCCTCTTTCGAGGTGTGTGGGCCAGTTTAGGGTAAGGTAGGTTCTCTAGGATTAGATAGTGTCTGCTACCTGTTGAAAAAAGTTTGGAGGGTTAGGTAGGATTGGCATTACCTGTCTGTTTGGTGTCTAGTTATTGATAAAAGTATGTTTGTTGAGGCCCACAGAATGGCCAAACGTGTGTCCAAACCTGTGCTTACTAGTGCCAGTTGCACTTCCTGCCCCCCTTACCCCTTATTTCCTGGGCTCCCAGCCAAGGAGAGTTAGATGGTTTCCCGGAAGCTGGTGTTGTGGTGTCCGTGTAAAACACCTGTGGTTTCTGTTTCTGAGAAACAGGTTGAATGCATCTGAGAGAGCTTGCAGTAAAAAGATAAAAACTTAAAAGTGATTTTGTCATTGAGAGGCCTGTGAGTCAGTTCGTTGTCTATACTATGTAACAATATGTCATTGGTATTGAAATGTGTTACATGTTTGAATTTTGAATGTTCATATGGTATCAGAAAAATTTGTCTGATATCCAAAGTTTTCACTGTATAATGATGTTGATTGGTGAGTTAAAGGTGTCATTTTCTATTGCCTTGCATACCCACCAGCAAGGGAGTCTTACGATCCCCAATAAAAGTCAGGGCCTGTCTGTCAACTACAGTACTTGAAATATGTAAATGGGCTCACACACTGAATCTTGCATGCAAAGAACCACTGTTGTCTTTCACAAACTAAAGAATTCTGTGTTTCTGAGAGAACACTTGTTGCTCCTACAAAACTGCTGCAGTAGTGGCCTGTTTGTCTTATAATCATGAAGAGGCAAGAATACCTGGGGCTTTCCCACTTGCTTTTCACAGATTGACTCTATGGGATTTTATTTTTATTTTATTATTATTATTTTTTTTTATATTTTGGCTGTGCCGTGCAGTATGTGGGATCTTAGTTCCCCGACCAGGGATTGAACTCGTGCCCCCCGTGTTGGCAGTGTGGAGTCTTAACCACTG